TCTAGTGTCTGCTATAGTCATCTCTCAGATCTCCCCTACCAACCCAGGCACTTAGTGCAGTGTCTGGTGGAAAAGGGGCCAATATGGCCATTGGCAGAACTGAGTTTCATAATCCAAAATTACTCATGTGGGTTTCTACAGTTTTAGGAGTAAAACTGCTAACAGAACTGCGTCCCTCTTCTTGGAGCCCTCAGCCTCTAGAACTTCCTATGTTATTTACATCACAGCCTCAGAAAGGCCATCCCTGACCACCCACCTACATCACAAAACAGTTTACTGACATCATGAGGCTTGCCTAGTTCATCTGCTGGCCTGTAGTGCCCACTCTCCAGAATGTCAATTTCAGGCCGGGCAAGGCAGCTCATGCCTGTAATTCCAGCATTTTGGGAGGATCACTTAAGGCCAGGTGTTCGAGACCAACCTGAGCAACATAGCAAGACCCTGTCTCTACCAAAAAAAATTTTTTTTAAATTAGCTGAGCTGCGGCAGTAGTCCCAGCTATTCAGGAGGCTGAGGCAGGAGGATCACTTGAGCCCAGAAGTCCGAGGCTGCAGTGAGCTATGATCCCAACACTGCACTCCAGCCTGGGCAACTGAGTCAGACCCTGTCTCTTAAAAAAAAAAAAAAAAAAAAAATCCCAGAATGCTGATTCCATGATAACAAGGACCTTTGTCATTTTAGTTCTCTGAACTCCAGCCTCCAGCACCTACAATACTGCCTGACACAGACTCAACGAATACTTGTCAAATGACGGCGACCATCCACACGTTACAACTTCTCTGACCTGCTCACAGCCCCCAAAGCCCCTCTGAATGCCCTCCCTGCCCCTCCTAGGTTTTGCAATGCCCTCACACTCCACCCTTTCCACATAAAGCCTCCCTGGCCAGCCCAGCCCCGAGTTCCTTTGCCCTTCCATGAGTGCACAGTCCTTACTACCTTACACCATTCATTTAGCACCTTTTTTTTTTTAAACTACCTTAGACTGAGTTATCTTTGGATATGGATCTCTTACTTCCCTATATTGAATGTAAGTTTCTAAAGGCAACAGTTATTTAGCATCTTTAGGGAAAATTTTCCAATACATATAATTTCAAAAACCTTGAGTGTTCTTCACAGTACCAAGGTGTTGTATTTGAACAATTCTGATTGTAGAGACAGATGAAATATTTCCTTGTCGAGCTGATTATAATTTAACAATTCTAAAAGTCACCTAGATAAACACTTATTTATTGAGTTGATATTTTCAGGCACTATTTAAGGTTTATAAAAGAGGATCTGAAGCTATTAACTGACTTTAAGGAATTATGCTCTTTATAGTTTATTACTGATTTGGTTATAAATGTTCTTTCTTCTTCCCTGTCCAGCTATGAGGTATAAAACTTCTTGCTGCTGTAAATAACTCCTCTCCTAATTTGCTGTGAATGGTGTGGTCAGTAGGTTAGAACAAGGCCTAAAATAAGGGCGAATCAGCAGAGTGAGACTCTGATGTATGAAAGGAGGAGGAGGGAAGAGACTCGGTGCTTACTTTGAGCTTACACAGGTGCCCCATAAATACTGACTGAGTCACAAACTCAGTAGTTCCTTAGCAGGAAACATGTAAGTAACATGTCAGCCACATTTTGAGAGGTGGCACTTACACTTACCAAGAACTTGTAAGCTTCACAAAGCATGTTTCTTTCTATCTCATTTGCTCTTGACAACAACCTCCTGAGGTTAGGTGGCCCCCAAGTATCAATATCATGACACCCATTCCTAATGCTAGGAAAACTGTGCTGCAGAAAGGTGACATGACTTCCCCAAAATCAGACACCTGATAAATACCCAGAAGTCGCATGTTTTTCATTCCTTCCACTAAGCCCATCTGTATAAAGCCATTGTTGTTTCTTCAGGTTAAAAGAACTTCAGGTAAGGCTCTTACGTAGGTAAGAGAGAGCAGGGCACACATTATGCTACTATAGCCTACGTTTTGTAAGAGCATTTGCCAACAGTCATTGTTTATTGCTAACAAGCAAATTCAATCTCATTTCTCACAGTATCAAATAGGGGACAAAGATCAGGAAAATGATAAATACTTCCAGATTTGGCCTTTTTACTATGCTATTTATAGATTATAATCTTCCTGTGGTTCATATGAAAATAACCTGGAACACCTGACATTAAAAACCCTCTCTTTCCTCTCTACCTGGAAGTTTAATCTATCCCATCCAAGGAACTTCTCACGTTCAATTTTATAGGGGCTGCTCAGACATGTAAAACATTAAGCTGAATCCAAAATAAATTCTAGTTGAAAATGCCTGAAGAATGTATATCTTTGGCCCATGGCAAAACTGCATGCTCCATGGTCAGAGACAATATGAACTGTGTTCTCCCAGCACTGTGCTCTTTTCTTTCCTTACATGTTTGTGTGAGTCTTTGTTTGCCAATCAACGAATATTTATCGAGGGCCTACTACAGGCCAACTATCTAGGCTCTGATCAACTATTTACTGATTTAATGTATGTCTCCCCCACGAGACGACAGGCATCATGAGAAGAGTTACTGCTGCTTTTTTGCTCAACACTGTGCTGTACAACTTAGCACGGTGTCTGGCACACTGCAGGGACTCAATGAACACTAGGTGAATGAATGAATGAGAGAGAAAGAGAGAGAGGAGGGGGTGAAAGGCGACACAACTTTGTATGTAAAGAAATCAGGTCTTTGCACTACCCAAACATGCCTTATGATCCCCCAGCGATCTGATGAATTCTGAAAGGCACCACATGCAATGCACAGCTGTAAGCACAGCAGCTGTCATGCAAAGGAGCCGAGGCCCACAACTATGAAGAATTCAGCCCTTTGTTTCCGTCTCATAATCAAAATGAAGTCAGGTCCACTGTCAATCCACCGTCAGCTGTATGTCTTCAACATCTGGCTTTCAAAAATACTAAGTTAACATTGCCTCCGAATGAAATTTATGTTGATTCACTCTATGACTGCCTGAAAAGGTATTATTTAAATGTCTGAGGTCACATTAAATAGAACTGAGTTAATATAAAAAGTTCTCCATTTCAGGTCTTTGCAAGCTATAAATTAGCCTTCACAAAGTATTTAATTTAAAAATAAAAAAAGTTTGACTCATTATTTAAACTCTCCAAACTTTAGGTCATACAGAGCAAACAGGCCTCTTTACCAGAAAGCTGTTCAAAACAGACTGAGTTCCAAGAGTAAGCTTTGTGCAAGTCTTTTAATTAAATCCTAGGATTTGGTGGGTTATGTGCTGCCAGAATAGTTACAAAAATAATAATGGGATAATAAGAAATATTAATTATTTAACTCAATATAAAACCCCAGCAAGCAATCTAGGAAGGTATAAAAATGCAGACGTGTAAGTTCACGAATCACTAATAAAACAAAAAGTTTACTTTCAGGTTTTTACCCAACTAAGTGAATAGAAAAATAAAGGATAAAATTTTAAAAAGAGTAATGAAATATGTTCTAAACATGCACAACGTATGCCAGAGAAAAGCCTTCAGGTGAGGTTGCTATTAAGCTATAAATATATTTAAAGGTATGAGTCAGTTATGTTTAAATGGTACAGTAAAGATACCCCATCTTCCTAATCTCCAGTGCCCTACAAATCACACCTTACCTGGTAACATTAGCTACAAATGAATAAAGGAACAAGTTGAATTATGTGAAGAATCTTCAAACAACTAAGCACTAAACCTAATACCAACAAAATCCCAGTACTCAGTTAAAACAGTTTAAAAAAAAAGACCTGGGAATTTTCTAGACTCATCATCTGATTCAGGATCAAAGCGTCTAATGACCTAAAGCAGTGACTAAATCACCTTTGATAAATAGAGAACTTGTATTCAGTAAGAGGCCTACCAACTGTCCCTTGGGTGAGCTAGTTGTATTTCCATTATGCTGTGATATACAAAGAATATGTAATTGAAAAATCAGAACAGACTCCTTGACAACATTTTTTAATAGTGTTTTTCTGAAATTTTCCAAAATCAAGTTTATGATATGATTTTACTTACGGTATGACTTCCACAACTCACTTTGAAATGTTCTGGGTAAAGGATAGACTCCTTCATTCAGATCACTACAAAAATTTACTTAAGACCTAAGTCGGGCAAAAAAACCCATGTGTTTATATTAATAAGAAGCCACCATACTGTTCCTTGGCATATATTCAAACTGGGCTCTATGAAAGATTTCTGAATTCACATTAAAATTCTTCATTTAAAAAAATCCCTTCAACATGACAGTATGCCAGCTGGAAATGATACAGCCGACCAAACTATTTTCCTACCCAGAAATTATCCCCTCCCTTTTTAAGTATGACTACACTTTACCTTTTGTTAGAAAACATAAATCATAAAACTGTAAGAATTGAGTCAAAACGACAGAGCAGCACGCTCCCTTAACTTCCACACTGCCCCTTGGCACCCTTCGGAAGCCACCGCGCCTGGCTTTCCGTGCCCCCGTCTCCCTGCTCTCCTCTCCCTCTGTCTGTCCGTCCGTCCGTCCGTCCGTTCGCCCCCCTCCCCGACTCGGTGCCCGAGTGCGCGCGGCGGGCCCGGGTCTGCCGCGCCGGGGCTGTCACGCCGGCCGGCAGCCCGGAAGGCTGCGAACCCCGCCGTGCGCAGCTGCGGGTGTCCGCGGGCGAAGCGTCCACTCCGAGGCGCGACGTCCGCGCACTCTCCGCAGCCCAGGTGCTAAGTCACAAGTTAGCAAACAGCCCGAGCGCGCGGCGGCGGCTGCCGTGATTCAGCAGCGGGGCCGGGCCGGCCGGCGGGAGGGCGGCGTCGCGGGGCCCGAGCGGGATCGCGGGGCGGGAGCGGGGCCGGGGCCGGGGCCCGGCCGGGCCGAGTCCGGAAAAGGTCACCGAGACGCCGCGGGCGCCGTCGCCCGAGCCCGCGACCCACCCAGCAGTCGGGCGGGGAGCGGCGGGGCAGCGTGGCGGGCGGGCGTGGCGCCGGGGCCGCGCGGGCCGGGCCGGGGGCTCCTACCTTTCCGGCTCTTCGGGGAGCTCCGCTTGCTCCGGGCGCTGGCTCGCTCTTCCTCAATCGCGGCTGCTATCTCGGGGTTGTCTTCCCCATTGTACCAGACCAAGAGCTCCTCGCCCGGCGCGATTGGCTGCGGGGAGAGAAGAGACAAGCGCCGGGCCAATCAGAGGGGCGGTTGTTGGCGGAGGTGGGGCGCGCCGGGCGGCGGGCGGGAGCGGCGCCGATGGCAAACAGCTGTCGGCGCCGCGCGCAGCCGGACCGGCAGGAAGGGCTCCTTAACCCTTGGGGCGCGGGCCGGCGCCCGCAGGAACCCTACCGGCGGAGGCCCTCGCGGGCGGAGGCGCGCGGACAGACAGGCCGGCGACAGCAGCTCATCCCGAGCCGGTCGGTTTAAACTCGCAACTGCCAGGCGCCGTCATATCTTGCTGTTCGAAGCCTCACGACTACCCACGCAGAAGAAAAAATAAAACATGGAACCATTTTGCTCCCGAAATTTAAGTTGATGAGAAATGTAAAGCATAATTAAGAAGAATCGGGCGCCATGGAAAGCGGAGCGCTGAAAGATAAATACCAGCGCACGTTTCAGATTCCAAGAGCAAGTTAAGCATGGGAACAAGGCAGAACTATATGCCACTGCACATTTATAAATGCGCCGCTATTTATATCACTGAAATGCTAAAAGAAGAGGCAGTGCCGGGGACAGGGCATTATCTACGCGTTGCCACCAACCTGCTTGGCTTTGTGAAAAGAGTTCACTGCCTGGCCTTTTGTACCAAATATCAAGATTTCACATTATAACTTTTAAATATAGAAGGAAATACCTCCCATGTATTATGCTCCTAAATCATTAAATTCTTAAGTCCTGTATGACTGGGAGTAGTGAGTACATATACCACCATCATATGGATTACACCTAGAACAAGAGCCTGAAGAAAAAACACATTGACTGGAAAGTTTAGACACCTAAACAGAATTTGGGGAAATGGCTTATTAGTTTCTGTCACCATGATTCATCTGTTCAAAAAGTTTCAAGGATATTAATACAAGTAAAATGCCATCTAAAACCCACTGAATAAGAATCCATGAGAAAGGAAGGAAGGAGTAAATAAAAACGAAAGCTCTTCCTTAAAATAGATCCCAATTCATCAGCAAAAAAAAGAAAAGATGGTATCAGAAAATCACCATTTGGCAATCATCACAGTAACCATTGATTCAGGCAAGAATCATCAATGGATGCTAAAAGTAGGTGAAAGTTTGAAGAATAAAAAATATTTGCATAGTCTCAAAATAGCTCCCCATAAAATATTTATTAATTACAAAGGAAAAACAGCATCTTTGTAATAAGACAAATTGACATCATATACCTCCTGATATGATGCACAGAGAACACAGCACCACTTCTAGAAGATTTCTGCCCAAAATGCACAAACAAAATTTAATCAAGATGAAACCAGAGAAGCGTAAACTTTTGAGACATTCTATAAAATAACTGGCCAGTTCTCAAAACTGAAAGGTTATAAAAGACAAAGACTAAAGTACCACCCATGTAGGGAGACTGATGAGACATGACAACTGAATGTGGTGGGAGTTTTCTTATAAGGATATGATGGGAACAGCCAACAAAATTTGAGTATAGTACACAGATTAGCTAATACAATAATGTGTTGGTGTTAGCTTCCTGATTTTGATCGTTGCACTGTGGTTATGTAAGAGAATGATCCTGTTTTTTGTGGGGGGGGGGAAGGAAATTCTACCTAACATGTCAGTTTGGAAACAAAATAGTTCCTCACTTCAACATACCTTCTAGTGTAGATAAAGCCCTTAAGAGTAAATACTACTTCATTTCATTCTCTGTAGAACTATCACTGTTTATATAGTCCAAATTTCAAAATATTCTAAATTCTTTAAAATAAAAGCAGCAGCCACTGTTTCCTTTGCTTCCCCCAACCCCTGCCTGGATGGCTAAAACCTACCATTTTCTTATATTTGAATGAATATATTATTTCCCTTCTTGAATCAGTTAAACTTAAACCAAAAAATTTAATATATGAAAGATAACAATGAGCTAAAATAGTCATCACAAATGCCTTTTGGCATTCTGATGAGCTAGCTAATCTGTTTCTGTTGAAAGAACAGCTTATTTTAAAGTAAACTATTTCTAGATGATATAAATTCCAAATGTATAGTTTGTTCTCTATTTTCTGTGATAAGCCACGTATTTATGAAATGGTGATATCCAATGATATTTGAAATGACTAGGGTTCTCAGAAATATGTGAAGTCTTAAAATAAAGCCAAAGTAAAAAAGAAGATGGGAAAGAGTAAGGACAAATGCATTCCCAAAATATTCCCAACCCAAACAGCATAACCAGAAAACTGGCTGGAAGACACCACCAGACATTTTCAAGATACCTCCAAGAATAAGAGCTTAAGTTTCCATGTTCATTCCACTGCGGTCGTCGGTGAAGTGCTAACTGTACTAGCAACTTGGTGAAGTTCAATACTGGCACAAACTCTTCTACTTAGGAGGGCACTCATGTCCTAAGATACTCTTTCATTGTTGCAAAACACACAATATGAAAACACGCCAGAATCTGTCTGTACCACAGATCTAATATAAAATTTTTAAAAGGCTGATGAGCTGGTGAAGCACTAGATCAAGAGGAACCTATTTGTTAGCTGCTGAAAAGCTTTCAAAATCATTAGCAGCTAACATAGTTATTCTATCATGGAGCTATGTATGCGTCCTAACTTTATGTTATAACAACTACACCAATAGCAGGCCCTTATGAAGAGGAAAAAAATATATCTTTTAAAATCGAGGCTTGTTTTTCTCTATACCGTGTTTTTTTTTCTTCTGTACTGCTTAGCATTTTTAAGTCAAATTCAGAAGAAAAACTATGCCCTTAAACAAAGGAAATACAAGTCCACATTAAAAAAAAAAAAAAAAAAATCAGGTCAAAAGACCAAACAACCTTTTTAAATATATTTTGAGGTTAAAGAAAAAATAACAACAAAAAGACTTTAAACTCATCCAACTTTTCTGGGGGATTCAGACAGACTTCATAAAACCAAGTATATTCTCTTCTCTAAATATGTGTGTGTGTGTGTGTGTGTGTGTGTGTGTGTGTGTGTATAAACTTGAAATTTTATCAAACTAATCAGGAAGAAGCAAGGGTTCTGATATTCCTAACACCTGGTCAGGAATATTAGAAAAATGAGAGAAATACTCCAGAATCATCAGAACACACAGAGCATGTCCACTCCTACCGCCTACGATCCAGTCCCCAGCATGATCTTTTAAAAGTCACAGGTCAGATTCCAGCCTCAACTCTCCCATAGATGAGCTGAACTTAAGACTAAAAATCATCCTTCTCCCCTTGTACCACCCAGCCCCACCTAATCTGTCCACTGCCTACTTCTCCAGCCTCATCTCCTAAGATTCCTCTCCTCCCTCCAATCACACTGGCCTTTGTTCTAATCCTTTAAAAACAGACAGACAAACAACAAAAACTAGCTTATTCCTCCTTCAGGCCTTTGTTTTTCCCGGCCCCTCCTCCTGGATTGTTCTTCCCACAGATCTCTGAGTGGCTGGCTCCTTCCTATCCTGGACAAAGGGTTTCCGATGTCTTTTCTCAGAAGAAAACAGAGAAACAGAGCAGCCTTCCCAACCTAGTCACTCTCTATCACATTTGATTGTCTTCAATGCACTTATCATCATTTGAAATTATTTTGTTTATGTATTTACTTGTTTATTATCTGCCTCCTCCCCCATAAAATGACAGTTCCAGGAGACCAGACATCTTGTCTGTCTTGTTCACTGCTATAGGAGAGTACACAGTACATAGTAGACACTCAATAAATATCTGTCAAACTAATGAATAGATGAATGAATGGACAGTAGGCTTCATAGTTAACTTTCAAGAATTTAAAATCATTTTTAATTCTGTTACAAACAAAACCAGTGTTGAGATTTCCCAATTATCTGGGTGGAATAACAAGTTGAGAAGGCAATACAGAGCCCAGAGAACATCACATGTGATGGATTTACAAAGCCTAACCCACATAACACTTAATCTAGAACAATATAGTTAGGTAATCATTCATAAGGAATCTGAAAGGCCTTGTGCATTACTTGAGACATATCAAAGGTCAGGATTGGCGGAGGTCTGCAAAGATCAGAACGATGTTATTTTGGACAAAGGTAAAAAGAATAGTAGTAGTGTAGCTAGTTAACACTTTAAGTACTTACGTCGGACTAAGAACTGTTCACAGAACCTTATATTAACACATATTGGCTTGTTTAACCTTCTCAACGACTGCAGAAATCAGTTTTTCTATTACCTCCATTTTTATAGGTGAGAAAACTAAGACACAGGGAGATTAAGTAACTTCACATCGTCACACATCTGGAGGCCAAAACAGTCTGCTCACAAGACAAACTGCTCCAGAGTCTTCCACGAAACCATACCGCCTTGCCAAAAATAACCACTAGCATCTATTAGCACTTATTGGGTGCGAGGGCTCTATCCATATCACCCATACAATTATCACAACCACCCTATGAGGTCGATACTACAATTACCTGTATCTTACAATGTGGGAATGCAGGCACAGAGAGGGGGCTTGGCTAAGGTTACACAGCTAGTAAAGTCACACCAGCTTGCCTCAGGTCACACAGTGAGTCAAGATCTAACCAGGCAGTCTAGCTTCAGAGTTCACTCTCCCAACCACTATTCCATCTTGCTTCTCAATGTCACTGCAAATTTGCTATCAGAGATGAACACGTTTTAACCTGAAGTCTAAGGAAGGAATTGCAGTCTCCTAGTATCTCCCTGGGCTCACACTCCTTCAGAACATCACTCCTACTACCTTGATTGTCTCATATTCAACCCCTAGCTAGCGTTTTGTCTCCACCAGAATTCTACCTCACTGATTCAACTAGATATCTCTCTCACTTTAAATCAATTTCACTAACAATGAATTCTTCTTTTATCAAATTGTGAATACAAATTCAAACTCCAACATAACAGTATTGTAAAGCAATAACCGTAACTACTGTAGAGTAATATTGTTGAGTAATACCTACTAGGAAGCATGTACCACAACCAGCAGAACAAAAATGGAAAACAAGGTTTTTAAAGTCTTAAATGAGAAAGTACCATACAAAAAAATTTCCTGCAGGCACTGGAAGCAAGGACACGGGTATAAATGTGGTAAAGGGCAGTCTAATTGGCTAACAATGTCAGGAAAAATGCAGCCAGGGAAAATTAAACAGCTACAAGTTACTCAACTTCCAGAAGTCCTACTGCTACCACTTTAGCAAACCCAGCACACACTTGCAAAGCTGGCCACTATCTTAAAATGTTTGCTCATCCACAGTTTTCAACTCAATGCAGATTTTTTTTTTCATGGACTGTCCCCAAGTCTATGACATTTTTAATGGACACAAGTGAATAAAGAGAAATCTGCCTTATGGCAATTTTAGCAAACATATCGATTACAAAAAGCAACCACCATCTACCTTTACATGCTCAAGATTCTGCCTTAGTACACTTCCATATATAAGGTGCAGATTCTTCTTCCTGGAGAACATGCCCTAGACAGCGTGCCCAGTGAAAACCAGGGAGAGAGACCCGGCCTTACTTGCTACAGAAATGCAGCAACTTCCCAACACAAACATCTCTGAATGTGCTCCGTAACCTCACTACCAACCCTAGAACATGACTTTCTTCTTCTTTGCATTTCAACGATTAGTGTCTCCGAAGAAAAATCTGGCAGAAGGAAGAAACATGTTCTGTTCGATTTTTATTCTGGGTAAAATGTAGAGAACAGAAAAGCTAATCCAAGGCTGCATTTATACTGAAGACTAAGAATGTGTTCTCAGCACAGACCCACCATAGCTATTGATAGTTTCTCACAGTTGGATAAATCTGCTAGGCAGGCAGTCCCTATGTCTTAGGAGGAGGGAAGCAGCTGCCACAAGCTCAACTCATCAGTATCTACAGAGATGCCTGTATGTAATTACTTAACACGATCTTCATGCTTTAGTTCCCTGACACATATGAAGCAGTGGCAACCATATGCTTAAAGCACAGAACCTCCTTGAGTGTGTGGACAAACCACTTTCAAATATAATCCTTTCAAAGTCTAAAAAGTCATTATTGTCAGTCACGACTAAGGACAGCATTTAGAAAAATGCAAGCAGAGTAACTAACAGTAAACTAATTCTAACACTGTTACCTTTAAAGTTTTATAGTAAATGGCTCTGTTGATTTCCAGTGGAAATAAATTTTGCTCTTCTCCTGAGCAAGCCCAATTCACATATCGCAGCCAGTTTCCCTTCTCTGGATCAGTGGCATCGATGCACATCCACCCCAGATTTGGGTAATATACCTTGGGAGTGGGGGAAAAAAACAAAACAAAACACTTTTGTTAAAATACAAGTATCTTTAAAATGTTTCCATTTTCAACTTTTAAGGTAATTCTTTTTCATTATCTGCAAGTACTCTATAACGCATTTCATAGAAACAAAAATAAGCAACAGAGAAAAGAAAAATACAAGGTGGAAACTGAAATCCAAAACTGTGTAATTCTCATTATTCTCCTATTTGGGCATGTTCATTCTTTTCCCCTAAACTTAAAAGAGTTAACGCTTGATGATCTCCAAATGTTTTACAAATATGTACACAGAGACAAGCAACAACCACATTCCCTAAAGTGTAACTTAAAGAGGAAAACTGAGCTTGCAGCAGTATTTGGCAGCACCCAAATCCCAAGCTTTCGGGGTTGTTCTGTCAGTCCAGTGCAGGAGCCTGACCCTGCTGGGCTAGGCTGTTCAGCAGGTCCCTTTCTGGCAAGGTTAACAGGGACCTTAGGAAGTGAACATACATTGTGAACCAGCCACATGGGTGACAGTATGATGCTTTCACAAACTCAGTGGTCAGCTCTATCCAGAGCATCTGTCACGACTAAGGTGTAATAGAACATCCTCTGGGAAATAGTAGTGCCCTTCAAAACAAAAAAAGAATCAAAAACTATTTCGGGAGTCAGATCAAATTTACTCTTGCAAGACGCTTTCCCTGATCACCCATGACGAGCCAATTCCTTCCCCAGATGCTTCCAGCACTCGTTTACCATTCCTTCGCTTTAAAGAACACCTATGTAGCCACTATTTTAATTTTTATTTTGCTTATACATACATATATCTGTTTTATTTCCCCAAAACTAGACTGTAAAACACCTGAGTAGGCACTGAAATACAACTGCAGGATCAACTGGTGACAGATGTGCTGAGCAAAAGAAATGGGTCTTTTACTTTCTTTTTAGGAAGAAAGGAAAGAATCTAGATGCTTCCATTTCTTCCCCACGACCTCTCCACTCATGCCTTCTTCCCTCTCCTACTCACATTATCCCCTTTCTTTATTGCACCTCTCCTTCTGGAACAAAGCTCCCACTCCCCAGCTGATGGTGAGAACTCTGCTTTTCTGGGCACGCGTGGGTGTCCGAGCCTGTGACTGCCAGGGCGCAGCATCCACCTTACTGGGCACTAACACTATTTTCTTCCCCTTGGGAGTCAGACGTCAGGCATAATGCTACATGCTTGACATACTGTCTCATTTAAACCTATATAGCAGGTTTATGATTATATCTCTTTTCAACATGTGGAAATTGAAGCTCAAGAACTAAATAACTTTCCCAAAGTCACCTACTTAAATGTAATGAAGATGGGCTTGACCTCTGTTTATCACCACCCTGGTTAAAAGACCAGCATCATCTAATAAGAATCTACTGCAAGACAAGTTCCATGCTAGAAGGTGCTTTGCAGTTATTTTATTTAATCATCATAAGCACCAAAGAGAATATTTGTACACAGTAACTTACACAGGCATATTTCCCCTTCCCCCAATATAAACTGACACTGAGCTCAGGTATAAAAAGTGTTGTTTTGATTGATCACAGTGGATAGCAGAGTCCCACTCTCTCCCCACCCGAATACCGGGACAGTTACAGAGATCGATGAGGCTGCAGAGACAAACACAGAGATGGTTGGTTGCCAGGAAAATCCCACACAGTTCAGAAGGCGGCTAGAGTCTATCCACTTGCCTCAGGATAACAATACAGACCGTGCAGGAACTTCCTGGCTCTCAGGTCAATATAAACCTCTGCACAAAGCAAAATGTTCCAGTTGAGTGCATTCTGTATGCATAGCTCATTTTGTTTCAAAAGAGACTAAGGCACCTTCTAAGTCATACTGATGTGCAAAAAGAAAATAGTTTTACAGAAAAAGATGAACAATTCAATTTTTAAAAATAGGCAAACAAGTAATTCATAAAGGAACACACATAGCCAAAACATTGTGAAAAAAAGTTAAACTTAACTAATAATCAAAAGTAATTTCAAATTAAAACAATTTTTACCTATTAAACTGGCAAAAATTGTTTTTTAAGAAAAAATAAGATTGGAAAAGGTATGAAAAAACAGATATTCCCCCAAACATTGCTGATCAGAGAACAAATTGATAGAATATTTTTGGATAGGATTTTTAAAAAAGCTTTAAAATAGAAATACACTTTAACCAGAATATACACTTGTAGGAATTTAGTCTAATGAGGTCATCGGGCAACCGTACCCAGATGTATGTACAAAGATGCTTACAGTAGTGTGGTTTACTACAAACTGTTTCCAATTCATGGCTTTTAAATGGAAAGCAATATGGAATTAGCTTAGTAAATTATGGTCCATTCTGATAGCTGAAACCAAGAAGTACTAAAAAAGTACTGTTACATAAATGATGTGGAAACTTCTACTTTCTGTTAGATATTTCTATATCCTTTAAGAATTTTTCCAATAAACTAAATACACGTTTCTGTAATTAGAAGAGAATAAAAATAACTAGCTGTTGAAGAAATACATTTATTGGCATAAGTACATTTACAATATATTGATGATTGAATAATGCCATTTATAAAAAGTATGGATTACATAACCATTTTTATTTTAAGCATATGAATATAAGAAGAGAAAAATCTGAAATTAAAAGTATAAAAATGTCAATAATGTTTTTCTCTGAGAAGTGGGGTAATTCATAATTTTTATTTTCCTTCTATTGTTTATCTGGGCCTTTCCTCCACTAATTTATAATAGTATAATCTACACAGCAAAAAAGGAAGGTGGGGCAAGGAGCAGTGGCTCACACTTATAATCCCAGAACTTTGGGAGGCCAAGGTGGGAGAATTGCTTGAGGCCAGGAGTTCAAGACGAGCCTGGGCAACATAATGAGACCTGTCTCTACAAAAAAATTTTTTTAAAAATTAGCCAGGTGTGGTGGTATGCACCTATAGTCCCAGCTAATCGTGAGGTTGGGGCGGGAGAATTGCTTGAGCCCATTAGTTAGAGGCTGTAGTGAGTTTTAATCAAGCCACTGCACTGAAGCCTGGGTGACAGAGTAAGACTTCATCTCTTAAAAAAAAACAAAAAACAAAAAAAGGGAGGTGAGTGGGAAGAGCAAGTCTTTTGAATGAAAACTTAAATTTGAATGAAGGTAATCAAGGTCTGCTGAATGCTAAGCTAAAATCCTCTTCATAATCCACACACATTTTTAAAAAGTATGTAGCTTTCTTGTTTTTATTGAGAGTTCAACCTTATATTTAAGAACTGGGAAGAAAATGTGTTTTTATACAATTCCTATCTTAGTTGGTCAAACCTTGGTTTCCAAACAAATTAATTTCAGTGACTGACACAGAGAACTTATCTCCAAAATGTGACAGAATTTTGCTTAACTATAAATTACTAGAGTGTGACGTGCCACACACCATCAGGCTAAGGTGGTGGGAAGACAGTGGGGAAACGACCACAATTTCTTCCTTTCACACAAACACAATGGAAAGGCAGGTAATAAATGACATGCAATAAAACTATTTCCAGATTTTTATAAGGGCCAAGAAATAGTCAGCTGACTTGATCCCAAAGAGAAATATTACCATATGATCAATAATTTTTTTCCTGATCCAATCTATAAAATAGTCCCTTTTAAGAAGGCAAGGGTACCTGATTATATACTATCATAAAACAGTTTTGCCAAGTTACTCTCGGATTCAAACTCCCCACTCAGAGGAAAGGAACGGAAGAAAGAGAAGTGGCACTACACCATGCACTGAGCTAGATGCTTTCCGTGTTATTTTATGTAACCTTTGTAAGCATCTGTACAATAACCTATGATATATTAAGCCCCTTTTATAAATGAGGAAACTTACAAAAGGTTGGTAACTTCAGTAGAATAATCAAGTCACTATAAATCAGAACCAGGATTCAAACCTGGTGCCCTCATTTCTTCCTACACCAAAATAAAACAGACATGCAGATAGGGAATGGGAGAGGGAGGCTCATACTTCTGTCCGACTGAGAGGCGTTCTCAACTTACCTTTCTCTTTTTCCTCCTTCCAAACTCCTCTTTTCCAGGCCTAACCTCCCCTAGAGTGTCCTCTAGGCCCAGCCTCCTTTCTGTCTTTACCACTAAACAAAGGCTGGGGGCTGGGCGCTCACTCTTTGTCAAGTGAAAGGTAATTTTCACACCACCAAATTTCCATTCAATTTAATCCAGTCATTTTGAAATGGTGATAAAATACTTACATTCAAATTTTAGTACACATGCCAATTTAAACACACACTCAAAATTAAATCTTCACGCCAATATAGAGAAAGGTTTGCAAAGAAGAAACCAAACTGTTAGTTGCCTCGGGAGATAGGAGTGAGGAGGGTTTTAACTTACAGTCTTCCTTATTATTTACTTGTTACACTGTACATGTATTAATTCAAATTTGTAATTTAAAAAAATTCTCATTCAATTAATGCAAACTATCATCATTCGAATCCTCAACTGTTCCCCTACAAGGTCCTCACCCAACCTCAACTTGCGTTAACCAACTTATTTTGAGAGAAATCATTCAAGAATTAAGACATGGAATGAAGAAACCTTCTCATACCGTAGCAACCCTCACGAGAGAAGTCTTATATTTACCCAAAGCAGCTCCCAACATTAGAGTCTACAGCAGTAAGGCCACCTCTGCCGGCCGTCCTCTGGCCCCCCTCCACTGCATGTGACCTCGGCTCTAACACACCACTGGTGGGGCCTCTCCAAGGCCCTGGCCCCCCTTTTAGTTTGTCCATTCTGCCGAGGCTCCCTGTCATATCTTCATTTTCTGGGATCTGGCTTGCTGATTTTCCAATCTCACGATCTACACCGTTCTCCACTTTCCCTGTCTATTCCTGAAAGACGAGCAGCAGGTCCACATTTCTCTCCAGTGAGTCTCCATTGGTAAATCCTGGCTCAGCTTTCACAAGTCAGTCCTGGGATCCGCACCCTTTTCCATCACTATTCTAATTTTTTTGGTTCA